GTATAATTGACAGCAAATTTTGTATTTTATTGTTTTTTTTTCTGTAGTCAATTAGTTGATTATTTCTGCACTTACTAGACAAACGCTATAAATTTGCAATTATTTACAAAACACTCATATGTATGACTATAATAAGGTCCATTTGGACTTACGGGATCGAGCTTTGAGGCTCAAATAACGCAGCGAATTCTTCTCGTATCCAATTCTTACAATCCAAAATCCTTAATGCTCCTTATTTTGTCTCAAATAAAATCATCCATAACGACCTCAATGTACTATATCTATGCGATTTACCTCAATCCAGATACCTGTCTTATATAATAAACTTCTAAACCATTCCAACCCTCTTGTTTCTAACCTTGCTTATTCGTCTATTTCTGATAACCCTCCGATGCGTCTGAAAAGAAGTTTTCTAGTCGTTTCAGTCTGGTATGAGGATTCCAAGTGAATTTGTCCAGGTGGAATCCTAGGTATCGGATTTGTTCAACAGGGGTATGTGGAGGATTGTTACAAGGTACTGTAGGGCAGGAGGTTATGGGTTTCCGACAAAGTGTGAAGGTAATTAAAAAAACTGATAAGAAAACTCTCTAAAACAAATAACCAGCGTTCCTCCATTAAATAATCAGCTGTGGACCAACCACAGCGTTACTATGGTATGATATCACTTTTGGGCGTATAAACCTTATTATCTGTTAATGAATTGAAAACTGTCTATTATTAGTACAATGTCTATTACTGGAATATTTATCTTAGCGACTTTTTGGAATAAAATGATGATACAAATATATAAGATTTCTTACAGTTTTAAAATTATTTTAGTTAGGTTAGTTTCTTCCTACAGTTTGGGAGAAACGAAGCAGTGTGTTGGATTATTCTAAATTGGATAACAATGTCTTAACCTTTGCAGAAACGCTTCGTAACCATGATCGCAAGTTATGTAATTGCCTTATGAATGTTTTACGAATAAAGCATTCGTCAACATTGGAATATACATGAAGGCCGTGTTATGTTTCGCGGACAATACCATTACTTCATTTAATGCTCTGCAATTGTGTTTTCCACCGCATGTAATATGCAGAGATATGACAGAGATTTGCATAGAGGCTGTGCATGGGAAATGGCAAGATGGCGGCTACGGTAGCCGCGTGGGATGACGCAATCCGATCCTCCATTAGTTCTGCTTTCTTCTCACTCTCGCCTCGTCAGTGACGTCAATAGCGTCTTTATCATTTCCGCCCTCTTCTGGAAGAAAAAAAATCTACTCTTTAATTGGGGGGGGGGGGAAGGGGAAGAGAGGGAGATTTGGTTTTGTTCGATCTTCTATCATTTTAGTGGTCAAAAACTGTGTTGCTAACCCATGACTATGATTAATCCGGAACCCACCGGTCTATTTCGTAACTTCAAAAATAAAATTCTTCCTAGAAATTAGAAAGTTGCCTGGGAAGATATGATTTCAGAAGAAAAGATGCTGTTGAGTCACTGATGGAATTATATCAATAATTTGTATTTATAAATTCAAATAGGAATTTGGATCTATCTCTTCCTCCTTGGTTCCAAATTTGATTAAATGGCACTAGTTGTCTAAGCTAAGGCCTATAATTAGGTACGTAACTATCTTATCAAGACTTCAATATTTCTATTATTTAAATTTTCATTCATATTCAGAAATAATTAAATATAAGGGAGTGGGGTAGCTCAGTGGTAGGGCACTGAGCTTCCAATGCTAAAGATCCTAGGTTCGAATCCCTAGGATCGCTCATGATATAAAAATTATTTATTCTGTTTCATTGGCCGGGGGGTGATCCTGGGGTGGTAGACCCTCCTGGGGCACACCCAGCCTCTATAAAGTGGATACCCTTAATTAAAATAATTAATTAAGTGGAAAAACGTGGTGGTTGAGCGTGAACTCGGTCAAATCACCTCCTTGCACAACCGTAGACCAAGAAATAGTGCTTTCCCTAAATAGTAAATTAGTTAATTAATCAATAGATACTTCATGGATTGTAGTGGTACAGGTTTTTTTTTCTTTTTTTAATAAAATAGAAACATGTCCATGGATCTAATGATTAATTCACCGTTCATGCGAACACCTCAATTTTCACGTGATTTTCTTATAAAATTTCTGCAAATAAAGTTGGAAAGAATATATTTAATAAGTACAAGTATAAATATATTTTACAGAGAATGTTTTTTTAGACATTTTTACGTAGTTAGACTGTGAAAACGGTTTATTTTTATTCGGAGGTAGTACAACCTAAAAAATCAAAAGTATTTTTCAGTTTTAACATCATTCAGTCTTATCTGAAAAATTTCTAGAAATGTAGCTATATTATGGAGCCCCTTTCCTCTCATGTTTAATGTATAAGAATCGTAATATACCCAATTATTTTGTTCAGATATCTTCAAGTATATCCATAAGCACATCCTACAATTGTCTAAACATGTTTATATAAATTTATTTTTTAATATCCAGTATTATATTAGATAGTTTCACAATAATTATATTAAATTGGTACACACAATATAAGTCCTTGCCACTCCCTTCTTTCCCCAACAAAATGGAAAGCCTGCATCTATGACAATAAATAATACTATATTTTTGTCTTGACGTGATTTAAAAACATCACTCATTTTTTTAAAAAAACGTATTTAACTCTGATAGCACACAAAAATAAAAATAGACCAATTAAAGAAAAAAAAAGAAAAATAACTTTTCCATGTTGTACTTGATGGATCCGCCAGTCTATTACGTGAAATAAAAATTCAAGTTCTACATCTGCCATATACAACCTACTTGTGTTCGATTGGCTACCCTTTTTTTTAAAGCTTGACCAATTTTAAAATATCAAAATATTTTAACAAGAAAAAGACAGTTCTTCATTCTTCGAGTATATTGTTGCAAAGTCTAAAAGTGCTTTACACACTGGGATAAATGCATTAAAGTCAATAAATAGTTTTTTAAGAAAAAATAAAGTAAAACTGATTTTTATTTATTTATTTATTTTTATTTCCTTTCTCAATTAGGAACTATCATCCCATATGCTTTATTTTAATTTTCTCCTTCGTTAACAATTTTACAATTCCTCAGTAATGAATATATAATATAATTACCTAATTATTTTTAAAATATATTCATAATTAATGATACAAGAACGTTAATTATTTTTTTCTTGACGTTATTGACTAAGCGACAACTCTCTCTCCAGCACGCATTAGAGAAATTCAAGCTGCTCGATATAAGAACCTGCTATGGGACTTTTATATATATATATATACATATCAGCTTACTTTCTCCAAGGACCTTCCGAGGTAGTGATAGAGGACAAAATATGAGATAGACTGTATCATACCTTTATTTTTTAAAGGATTTTCTCTTTAGATAAATAAGAAGGATATTATCAAGTGTACCGTACGTTGTGTATATACTTCTTGAACTATGTGACTTCCTTTCCTTTTCTTTTTAAAAGGAGAACATAATCTTCAAAATGATAGCTCAATCTCAATAATTTATGGAGAGTTTAGAAAGGTATAATGTACCGACAAAAATAAACCTTATTGCAAAACTTTACAGATGGAAAATTTCAAGTTTGTCAAACTTATATATATATATAAAATGTACAGACATAATTATTTTATTTCATATAGAAAATTATCTATTATAATCATATTATAGTTTATACAAAGCAATTACTTTTATGATCACGATTTTCTAGACAGTAATGTGTGGATTGTTTTTCTTGTAATCAACTTTAACACCATTCACTACTTCTAATTAAGCACTTACATGAAAAATAAATTGCGTACATTTGAGCTGTAATAGGACTAAAGTGATAAAGAATTTAAATAAGATTGAGATTGAAACGTATGAATTACTTTTTAAATAATAAAAAAAAAGTTTACATTTAGCTAAAAACTTAAAATAATGGAGTGTCTGGATAGTGAGATGGGGACTGAGGATGTGACCTTAGACCACGGTAACGTGACGTATACTGCCAAACACGATGCTATCATACATCTATTAACGAGAAACTGTTTTTTTTGAGCTTTCGTAGGAATTGTTTATTTTCATTATGCAATAGGAATGAAATAAAAAATATCGTGCATTTTCTTGGAGTATGCCCTGTTACCTGGCGGAACTTAGGAGAAAATATTTTGGAAAAGATGGTCTGACATTTGGGGAAATAATTTGCACATTTAAACGGAAAAAAATTGGGTAAGTCCATCCAATTATTGTAAAGTAGCCTGGAAATATAGATATGCCTTGTGCCAAGAATTTAATTATTAGTGAATAATGCTTAAGCCGGAAAAATTATTTATGTAATTATATTAAAATATCTATATTCAAAATGTGTATGTATTTATATATGTGCAATTATATTTGTGATATTAAGAGTTGATACATTGTATTTCTATATTTGTTAGCATTAACACTGTATTTATTAACATTAAAATATTATGTTTTAGTTTATATTATTGTATAAATAATACTTATTTTGCCAAGGCCAGCCTCCTGCTGATGGTTTTAAGAACCAAGACGTATATATTTTTATTGAGCTTGGATACTTTTGTCGTTTGATATTGTATAAATACTCAATAAAAATCCATTCATTCATACATTTATTCATAAAAAAGCAAATAAAATATTTTAAAATAAATACTTCTGTTCAGAAATAACATAGTAAAAGAAAAAGTGGAAAGATATTTTTTAGAAGGAAATTTTTAAGCTAAAGAGACTTATAAATCTTATAAGTACAAGGTCGTCATCTGTATGAGCTAGACGCTGGCAGGCAATGACGTAGCTTCGCCCCATCACTTTTCTTAAACGCTAATCATCTTTGCAGATTTGCAAATTATTCATCAGTAAAATTTGGAAATTTCTGCGTTTTACTAACAATAATCGTTATCAAAATTGAAAATTCATACAAGTACCCAATTCCAATATAATCGAGTATTTTTACATAATATAACTGCTGTATTTATTATAAAACTATTTTACTCACCATCTGAGGGTTCGCCAGAAGAAGACCCAGAGCGCGTTGTGGTCGTTTCTTGTAAGAGTCCGCTGACATCAACCGTCGTTTCTTCAACGCTGGCAGCCCTCCACAGTTCGAGCTGGGCGTACAGCAAGCTCCCAAACTATAATATATATTATATAATTTTTATAGTATTACAAGAAAAGTATATTTTTTAAACTATAAATAGTTACTATAGCCTTAACCATGTAAAACAAAATTTTACTTCATGAAAGATTATGCATAGCCTAAAGTACACCTTAATGGTGCAACAACTGACGGGTCCATTGGAGGGGGGATTTAGGGCTGAAGCTACCCAAAGAAGATTTTTTCGCAAAGGTCCAAATTTGTTTATGTGAGTGATTTGAAATAAGTACTTAACAATGATAATATGTTATCTTTTTTAAGTATAATACGAAGTTACTAAATATAAACACGCGTGTCAAGAAAAAAAAAAACATATATAAAAAAGGAAATTGACCTAAACAATTTTTTCACGCAACTTAGAATTTTGAATTTTTAGAGCTTTTTTACATTTTTATAAAAACTTTTTTTCCAACTAGCTAAATCTATGATTTGGAGTTACGTATTGATATCTTACTATTTTTTTTTTTGTCTTTAATTCTTCATCCGCACATTTCATTGTAATGACAATTAGCAGATTTGTTGTTAGATAGAAAATGACATGATAGGCAATACGAAGAATGGAACTCAGCAGCACCTCTTCAATAGTCTGTTTACATCCTAAAATCAGGAAAGGAGATCTCTCATCAAGCTCCTTTTCAGTCGCTTCCTGATGAGCATTTCAGCCGTGGCCATGTCGTTGATAAGTCCATTGTGATGTCCGTGTAGTTTAAGACGAAATCGGAAGTAAAGAGTGCGTATGTGCTGGTCAATGGTTGGTCGTCTTTGGTCGGTATGTAAAGTCTTGTTGTTGACGTACCAGGGGGCTGCAGTTATTATTCTTAAAGTTTTAGATTGAAAAGATTGTAGTTTTTGTAAGTGAGTCTTTTTAGCTGAACCGTAAATCTGTGAGGCGTATGTCTAAACGGGTTCGAGCAGGTAAGTGTATGTATTTAGTTTTTGTCTAATTTTCAATTTTGATTTTGAAAACAGTGAGTATAGTATTTTCAGTCGCTTGTTCAAAGTTTTTCTTTTCATTTTGACGTGTGCGATAATACATGTGATATCTTTATTATTCGGATTATAATAAAAAAATTCTGCCTAACATTTATAACTTTCTGATGAATGTTTTTTAATTCCAAAATATGTATGCATGAAAAAAAACATATTACTCAGTCAAGAATGCTTTATCTTCTAAAGGTTGTAACAAAGCCTGGGATTGGTCGAATCGAATTCCCCATTCTCACGGCTAGCCAATAAATCCTAATGGCTCAGTTCGCCTTTCTCCAGCCAATGAGCATGCTCCTTCAAACCGTGTCCTTTCAACCACGAAAACACGACCCTAACCTTTACAATGTTCGCTTCTCTTCAAGTTTTCGTATGCAAAAATTATTTTAATAAGTATTAAAAAAAAATCTTCACAAATAATCTTTTAAAATGAAATATAGATATTCAATGAATTCGATGGTTGAAATAACAAATTGAAATCGAGGGGATAAGAGAAAAGCATTCCACGGAATTTACTACTGTCTAATTTATGTAAGTTCAGATCTCTTAACCAATTCTTTTTTAGTTTTATATGAATTTTATCTGTTGTTTATGCCTATATCTTTTTCACGAGGGTGTCCAGAAGGAGGTTTCATGGATTAAAATTTGAAAGGTTGGCAAATTCCAACTTGGTTGAATTTTGGAATAAAAAGTTTTAACCAGGGGGCAAGGAAAATACATGGACAAGTACTTGTTTATGATCTACATTTTTTCTGTATCTTTTTTCGCTTGCACTGTTTTAAGAAGAGGAGAGGAATACAATTTCGTGGAAAAGGGGGAGGGAGATTTATGCGCAAACGACCTAGAGGAGGATGGGCACTCCACTCCGCCTTGTTCAATTCTTTTGTTACGAGATTAGTTTTATGTGGAATCGTTAAATTTGGACGCTATTACGTCCTTCCAAAATTTAAAAAAAATGCTAGAAGAATATTTGAATTAAACAAAAAACAGTAATCGTGAAATATTATCTATCCTAAAAGAATGTACTCCACATCTGCATAAACATCTTGGTAGAGTGTTAGGAAAATTGATGTCTAGAAACATTAATTATGGCTCCAGACAAGTACACATCTGAAAGTCTTGATTTTTTTGGGGAGGGGCGGCCGAGCGAGCTAACATCGCCGGGGGAGGGAGGACTTTTTATAGCTCAGCCACTAATCTCCCACCCTCATCCTCTGGCCCGAGAAAAGCTCGTATAGCCTAAAAGGCGAAGAAGAAGACAAAAAACTAAAAAAAGTCCTGATTTTCGTTCGTGAGTTGAAGTTTCGAGAGTTCTCTTTAGTATGTTTTTTTTTTTGTTTTTGTCTAAATTAGGTTTTGAATAACCGATAGCAAATAGGAAGAGGAAAACCAAGAAACAAAAATACTTGCCTAGAAAAACAACCGATTTAGACATTTGTGTTTCCCATAGTTTGCGAAATGTCTAAACGTACCTCAAGAGAAATTATAAGGAGTCTGGGTAAGCACTAGTATTGCTTTTAAACATTTGTTTATTGTATGTTTTATTTGAGAGTAATTAAATTTAATGATCTCCGGTAGGATTCAAATGACTTTTTTTTCATCCACCATCTCCTTCTTTCATTTTCTTTTGTTCCCTTTGTTTTCATTTAAAATTATAATAGGTTGAGGCAAATGCGATTCTTAATGTCGTAAATAAAGAACTTTTAAATCATCCTTTTTCTTCTCTTTTGTTTCAGTTTATGTTTTTGTAATGTCTAAACCCGGCGTTAAAAACCGACAGGAGTTACTGTACCTATACAAGAGCACACTAACGGATCCAGGATTTCATTTTAGGAGGGAAAGGGCTTCAGCCCGAAAGCTTTTTTTAAAATAAAAATAACGATAATTACTTTAGTAAAAAAGAAAGATCTAACTACCTATATGAAATGGTGTTTAAGTGATTTCTAAAGTCCTTTTAAATGTAATTACACGGACAATAATACTTTAAGAGATATTTTTTTCTATAAGACATGGTTATATTTTACCATTTTTGGGGAGGGGGGCTTCAGCCCCAAAGCTCCTTCCCCGTAGATCCGCCAGTGCAAGAGCAGCAAATCTCTGTATTCACAATTCGTACATAGCAGTACAGAGGTCGTATTAGGCCTCCTGAAATTCCCTATTATCATTGACCTTAGTGAATGTAATAACTGTTTTTTCAAAGAAAATTTTGTTTGCTTTACGATGGTGTACTTAGAATTTAATTATCTTGAATAATTTTTGAGCCGTGATAGTCTTGTAAGGAAGGTACAAAATTGGTCTTAACTCATTTTCCATTCGAAAACGGAACATGCATCAAATGAACTTTTTTGTTGGAAATTTTGTCTAGGAACTTCTCTCAGAGTTTGGTCATTAATAATTGAGACACCCTCAATAATATTATCCAAACCCTTCAATATCTAAAATTATCTGTCATCTGTGATATATTTTTTTCCTTACACTTCACAGCGTTCAAACGAAAAGAAATTACCAGCTGTTTCCACAGCCTCTTCGATATATCCATCCCCATCCCCACTCCCACATATATTATTACAGTGAGGCTCGAAATTGGTTTTGTCATTCGAACTATAAGCTCCTGTCATGCTCAAATACTATGAATGAGGTACCGTTGGCTTCAGAAGGAACTATCGGATCCTGCGTTTTTAAGCCCAAAAAACGTATTATTTTCGAGATAAAGCAAGGCATAGGGTTCGCATCCACACAACCTTACGTTAATTGTAGTACTGTCATTGAATATTTCGTCGACTTGAGCGCTCTATGATCGAGAGAGGAGGAGTTTATATTATCTATCGATGATGTTTTTGATTGGCAAGCTTTATCATCGTTAATTCTTCATCAAATCTCAAGATTGAGTCACCAATTTCGAAAGCTTCCGTCTCCTTCAGGCTGGCAAAATAGTTCCATCACTCAAACAAGTTATGAAAGAAAACAAAGTTTATTTGCGAATAACTAAAAAATTACACACTTTTCCCTTATTCAATTATTCTTCCATGATAAAAGACGCAGCTTATTGAAATTTGTAACATGTTGGTTCCAAACATTAATGAAGATTCAAATTAATTTTTGTTTCCTTTGTCAATTATATTTATCGATAAATTTACAATTGATTTCTTTATTTTATGATTAATTTGGCATTTGATAACAATGTGCTGTGCAAATTTTTTGCACGGGCCTAATAGTCTAATATTATTATTCCACTGCCATCGAGGATACCATTGCGATCCAGGAAGCAGGGATCCAAAGAGATAGAGTTAACTGGGTCTTGTTAGAGTGGATGTTTTTGACCCCGAACCCCCCGGGGCTCAATACGCCATTGTCGATGGGAGCAGATACCATTGTCAGGCACGCTCCTCTCTTTGTTCTATAGAGCCTTTAAACAGAACTTGCATTCCATTTACATTATCTACCGTTAGCAGCGCGGTAAATCCTAACACCCTGCAACCTTTCACGAGGGTCCCCGTTTCGGGGGTCGGCGTCTCAAGGGTCGATTTTGGAAGGAATCGATATAAGTCTGTCAATCCAAGGTTATTAATCGACATAACGATTTCGATGTAGTCAGTTGGACTGCAACGATATGGAAAAAGAGTCGTAATACATCGTAGGTCGTTAACCTAGGATAGAAGCGAAGTAGCTCAGAACCCATGTCCGGCTGTGGCTGATTGTTGTTTGATACATCAGCTAGGCCCTAGGGGAGACTCCTAGGGCGCACTCAGCCTCTATAAAGTAGGTACCCTAAATTTCAGAAAAAAACATGGCGGTAGAGCGTGATTATCTTGTACGTGCCCTTTCATGGGTTATAATTAGTTGTTTTATTAATGTGAGGGGGGAGAACGCTGGCCCATGCCATATAAAATGCAATAAATGTCTTATAAATAAAAGACGATTATAATAGTCGATATTGAATAAATATAAATATATATATATATATATATATATATATATATATATTTACAACTT